TTACCGAGGGCTCTGAGGTGCACGTGCAAGAATACAGAGTGCAGAAATAAGAAGCAGTAGTGGAACACCCATAGCAATATGCCAAGTAGACGGCCGTCCAAGAAGCTCTTCCAGTGATATCACCATACCAGCCAATTCGCCCAGACACGCCCACACAGTCTGAAATAGACAACTGTTCCCGGAAGAACAAAGATTTGATCGTTATTTGACATAACAATACTCTCGGGCAAATTGGTAAACTGAATGGAAGGTTTTAAGCTCCTACCAGCGTGGCTAGTGCAATGCCTCGCTTTTGTGGAGGCAGCTCCGTGAGCATAACTGAACCGGAAGTCTGAATAACTTTGTGGAATGTATTGGCCTTCACTTCATAAAAAACTGCTCGTAACCACCTGCACAATGCCCTGCCCACAGCCATTAACAAATCGGCCAATAGTAGCTGCCATCATACCCATTTTTACATTGACAGTGAGTAGTGTGAGAAGAATACCTATGAGATCCAAGTATACTTCCTGAAATGATATTGGATCACTTCGGGGAAGACGAAAAAGGTTGAATGAAGGAGGATTAAAATTGATAAGTTCTCTTGGACAAGTTTGATTTCTATTTGAGATGCGCCACATATCTGGCATTCTTCGTGAGTAATAGTTTCATTGAGGTTGTTAGGGCTATACAATCAATTTCGCGAAGTTTGCCAAGCGATGTAAGATTTGCTTGAAAATGCATCAAGCGAGGACTCTGTTGGCAGTCGTGAGGATCGCGCTGGGTTTAACCCGCAGTCCATGTGCTAAAGTACTGGAGCCACGGCCACTAAATCATTCCGTCGGGAAGGTGGGTCAACTCATTTTTTTCCTACCAAGCTGATATCAATACCCAGGGTACACTATCGTTGGGAGGATCCTCGGAGAATGGAGTAGTACTTGCGTTGGGAAATTGCTAGGATGGGGGAGGGGGTGAGAAGAGAGTTTGCACGCAATGCTCGGAGGAAACATTCCTGGAGAACTATGGTAATGATAGGAAGTAAGTAAATTCAGGAAGGTGATAGGTAGGACCGGAAATGCGACGTCTGAACGAAGCGGTTCGAAAGAGTGAGCGCTCGTACCGACACTGTCGCTTCGCAGTCCACGATGCTGAACCCTGTCCGAACCTCCTGGAGACTGCCTGTATGAGCTTGCAGTGATGGCGGCCACTGCCCCTCACAACGCTTGTCAGCGCTGACTCTCCATCCCCTTACGCGGCTCTCATCCCCAAGATGGCTTTGTTTTGCCTTACGGAGAATAGCTTTCTGTTGTTTTTTTTAAATAAACTTTTACTCTTGTAATTCTGCAGCCGTCGACAACTCTAACTCTCGTCAAACTTTGGCTTAAGAAGCAGGAAGAGTGGGCATGTCTGCGACCGCACTACAGTAAAAAAAGTACAGCACAGATGAGGAGAGCTATGGAAGTTTCAGCGAAAATCAGTATGTATAAATATTCTACATACCTAACATGACCGGAAATTTGTGATCGTGTCGTCTGGATAAGAAAATGGAAGCAAAACATCCGAACGCAAGACCGTATATTCGTGACGAAACCATAATTCCCCACGCTACATCGGCTGAATTAATGGAATACAATTACATACACTCCTTATCCCTGACCCAGAGTAGGCGTGGCATTTGAACATGGCACGGAATTGGTTTCTCGTGGAATATTCCAGTCTGAGACAACTGTCATCTTGTTCTGTGTTGGACAGAGACACGACAACAATTGTGTCAAGATGAAAATATCTCACCAGAAGCATAGACACCTTCAGGTTAAGTTGAAACATGCGGCCACGCCTACCCGGTCTCAGGGATTTCGAGTATACATACAGCACTTTCCGCTGCCGAGGATGCGGCTTTTCAGATGGGCAGAATTTGGAGCGGCGGCAGCCCTTTTTGCACCGATTGTTGAAGCTATATTCTAAGCTATATTAATCGGTGAAAATTGGCGGGCGCCGCGTCAAACCAGCCCCCTACACGTGCCAGCTTCTGTAGAGAAAGGGACTGTAAAGTCTACAACCTGACGATCACTGTCAGATTGATCGAAAAGTCTTGCTACACTATGATCAGACCTCTCTGGAAAAATCTGAACACTTTCGAACAATTTGACGTCTGATTACTTTAAGGAAACCTTGGATGTTTAGCGGCCGGACTGACAAGGAGTTACGGACTTACTGGGGTAAGTAATGGGACAGTGACCTTAAAATTTTGATCAGCAGCTGGACTTTCCGCTCAACCTAATTAACCTAATAATAGAAGCAGCACTCTAGATAAGTAGCTAATCTATATTCGAACTCGACCTACCTTCTTCCTTGGTATCGTAAACTGTCATAAGATATGGCCACGCAGCTGGTAGGAGATTGTCCATAACGCTATCCAGAAACAGCTTAAAATGGATCAAATAGTTTTTCACACAATTTCTGAAGTTTGTGAACGTCGACTACGGAGGATAATGATGAACGTCACTCTTTTAGAGTGCCTTTACCAGGATCACATAGAAAATGTGTTTTCCTTCGAATGCTGTTGTTGGTGAAGCTTGGAAAGTTGGTGAAGCTTTGGAAAAGTATTCAATTGTAAAGTAATTCCGAAGAAAACCTATGATGTGAGAAAAAGACCAATTCACAGATTCCAAGTCAGGTGAGTCACAATTTTTTTCTTTTTTCAGACGCATTTCGCAAATGCAGTTTATAGATAACGGGTCCAAAATTAATCCGTAGGTGCTGGTTGCCTTATCAGTAAAGGTAAAAAGCGACAGAAACTGTCACGACGTTGAGAAGAAATGGTTGATTCAGTTCTTTTTAACGCTGGAACAGTACATGACAGCGCTGGACTAGTACATAGTGATAGGAGACACAGGAATGCTCAAAGCGCAGGCGAGAAACCAGACAACAGCGAGAGCCACCTAGCCGCCCACACCACGAGGGCGAGAAAATCGATTGCAGCGCAACGAAGTAGTCCGCGGGAACTTGAACATGGTATAGGCGACGTTGATGGGAACTGCAAGAACTGTGGAAATTCTATGTATATACTGGTTGCGGGATGTGTCTTTGGAAGGCGGGCGGCTGTTGTCAGCGCCACTGGTGGAAAGGGCGCGAGAGAGCGTTTGGCCATACTCCACTCTGCCCTTCCACCGATGACGTTAACGAGAACCGCCGACCCTCAGCCATGTACCCACCGCCTTTAAGCACTGGTTATGTTGGTTCAGTGTATGAGTCGGATCACATTCTCACTAATTTTTCTATGGGGGTAACAGAAACTACACAAGAAAGTCAAATAATGGGCTAAAAACGTGAGCGCAATGAGGACATGACCCTGGACCTCACGCCTGCCTAATGAGTGCGCTAACGTGAGGTTGTAAGCGCAGAACGAGAAGTTCAGGTTCATATCCCGGCCGGGGTCGTCTGCTGCCTATGGGTAAGCAATCTCGTGAGATTTATGAAGCAGTGGACTGTGGCGATAAAGCTATAAGTTTATAGTAGTTATCATGCTAACAAGTTGAAAACCAGTACGATTGAAAGCAAAACAAGGCCCATTGTGAGCTCATGGAATGAGCTCAAGACCGAATGCTGTGAGTGTGAAGCTTATGAAAAGGCTAAAGAAATTAATATTGATAGAAATTACCATGAAATGACTAGCTATTCCGATGCTGAGCACGACGAGACCCAGTCGTAGATCTGGTGACCATGACGGGCAGACAGTTTGTGAATTGGTGATTCGTATAGAAATATCGCTGGACTTCATTACTTCTTCGTTTCTGAAAATGTCACGACCAAAATTTATTTTACTGAAAAAACGTATGTTTAGACTTATCCAAAAAATGGCGATTTTGCAAAAAACGAGTGTACATTGTAATCCTCTATGGCGCGGCGATAGGGCTAAACTGTAAGAAATATCACAAATTCAGCACACCCCTACTACATAAGCGAATGGAACCTGTTATCGTATCAACAAATACTATGATATCATGATAATGCTCACTTTGTTGATTTCGAATACTGGTTACAAGTGGCGCATTCCCAAATATTATTTGATTAGGTTTATTCTAGTTCCATTTTCATTCTGGAAGGTCTATTCCGTCTAAAGATCTTGGAAGGCGCATTAATGCAGACTGATTACAGTATTATCTGATTTTGCAACTAATACTAACGTGT